ATATATATATATATATATATATATATATATATATATATGGGGGTCAGTAGAAATTGGTTGGACTTATATCTTATGAATTAAATGTTAAAAAAAAAATATGTGTTCCTAATATCGTGACATCATAGAAGTAGAATTAGAAATAATTTTTCAGACACAAAATAAAGTAATAATAAATATTTAATATACATATTTTTATATTTATCTATTACGAATATTATTACAACTAGAGGAAAAAATACAAATATGGAATTTGTTTTATTTTTTAATGTAAAAAATCTCAGAATAATAATAAATAAATCAAAAGTTTGAAGAATTTTATGTAATATATGCTATATAAACATAAATATTATAGATTTTACACAATTTTTTAATTTTTTTACTTTTATAAATAAAAACAAAATCCGATTACATATATAATAGTACAATTTCATATATAATAGTAATACGACACACTGTTATTATTGAAAAAAATAAATTGTGAATCTATGTTAAAGTATTAATAAAAAGTTTTTATTAATGTACAAACATAATAAATAATAGACATCAAATGTAATAAAACAATCATAATTAAACGAACAATTTATTTTGTTTTGTTGCATATATAAATCTTGCTGAATCTTATACTTAATCATGATGAGCTCAATATATGATGGTACAGTATATAACTATATAACTCTATAACTTATCTTTAAAATCATCAAAAAATTTTAATCATATTGCTATTAGTCAAGTATGTCATATTTCTATCAATTTACCATTTTGCTTGTTGAATTTTATATTCTTATATCTGCTGTAATTCTTTTGCTCAATTTTCTAGCCAATGTGTCACGAAATCTTTTTCCTTTTCTTAAAATTTGCTTCCAATTAAACATATAAATAAATGGTTTCTTTTGTAATTCGGCCATTATTACAGTCTGTGTTTCTTTAAAATGATTAATGATTTCTTCGTTTGGATCAACTCGAACTTGAATATCCTTAGAATTTATTAAAAAAAAATTTTGAATAAAAACCAAAATTTTACTCAAAATATATCATCAAATTATTTATGATACTTGAAAAACAAATCGAAAGAATAAATCGAAAATATAAATTAACATTTTTTCATATAAAATTATTTCCGAATAAATTAATTTTAAATATTCTTAGAATATATGTACATTTAAATTTAAAATTTGGTTATCACATATAAATATATATCAGTTATAAAATAATTATATTGCTATTCATGCTTTTTTTTTATTTTTTTATTATAATTTATTATAATGAAGGATGAAATAGAAATATTTATTTTTTCAAGAATTTTTTTTAATTATTATAAAAAATTATTGTAAAAGTTATTGAAAATAATTTTTTTTACTAAAATATATTGTATTTTGCTTAATGTTTATAGATAAAAATATAATTAAAATTGAAATACTTTATGTTTTCGACTTATTTTTTTCATGTAGCTTTAATGAAATCCAGATTATGTATATGTGTAATTTTTTTCTTTTATATACCATTACTTCTTGTTCAAGTATAGTATCTTCTATAGTGATTAAATCAATTTCTTTTGGTGGCAAGATAGGTTTAATCTCTGGAGGAGGGCCTGCGGGAAAGAAAAGATTCTTGGTGTGCTCGAAAATATCCTCTTGCATTTTTAATGTCTCCTGTAACCGTTTTCTCTTTCTTTGTGCCTCCTGTCGTAATTTTAATATGGGTTCACGTTGTCTTTCAAGATCATCTTTTTTTAAGCCTTTCTTCTCTAAAAGTACTTCCTGCATATGCTTCAATTCTCTTGCTTTCCATTTTTGGCGCGCATCTTCAATCATTTCCCATCTTTTCTAAAAATTTAGTAATCAATTCAATTAATATAATAATTTTTTTACTTATTCTTTTTTTTTATTAGTGTTAATTTATTAAAATGAAATACCAATGGTTCTTTACAGGCTCTAGAGTAGTTTCGGGTTCCATTGTTTTAACAGCAATTCTTTTCTCTTCTTCTTCTTGCTTTTTTTTCTCTGCTTCCTGTGCTAATCTTTTTTCTTCGATATCTACATAATTTGCTTGGAACCATTTCTCTCTCCATTCTTTACAATTTTTTGCCTAATATTTTAAAGAAATTTTTCACAATTAATCTACATATGAGAAATAAATTTTTATTGAAAAATTAAAAAAGAAATTTTTTACTTGAAAAACTATAAATAAATTATTATAAAAAATATTAATTATTAATATTATTATTAATGAAATAATATAAAATAACATAAAAAATATAAATTGATTTAAAGATAATATAAAAAAATAAATTTACTCTTGCAACTTGATGCTGAATGAAATTTTTCATCCACTCCATATCACTTAAATCTACTTTCAAAAAATCACCAGGAGATAGGAACATTCTTAGGATACCATTGAAATCGCAAAATCCTATGCATTGTGGATCCAATCTTAAATCATGAGGATATATTCCCGTAATTATGCGACCTGATAAACTCTGAGTAACACACGGGCTATCTGTTTTCACTTGGAAATCCCATAACTCAACAGTACCATCTGTTCTTGTCAAAATTAATACCGTAGGACGATAACTACCCCATGAAACAGCAGTAAGTCTGTATAAGAAATAGATATATTTCAATATAAAAGATAATATATAAATAAATAATTTAGAAAAAATATAATTAATATAGTAACAAAAATAATGTTTTCTTAATAATAATAATTTTAAAATAATATAATAAGACTGTTTTAACTATATTCATTACTTTTTATTTTGTCTAAGATAAATATGTTTATATATAAGTTTAAAATAAAATATTCTATTTTATATTACTTATATATTATACTATTTATTATTTTTAAATTTTGAATAACAAGTTATTAGAACATAAATATAAAAATAAAAGATACAATTTTTGTATTATTAATTAATTTTTAATTTAATTAAGCAAGAGAAGAAAAGAAAGAGAAAGATTTTTAAATATCAAAAATATCTGTAAAATACCCAATATCTCTCTTCTTCCACATTACTGGTAAACCAAAATTTTCTTTCCAAACGGCATATATTTTTCCACCTATAGTGGCAATCCAATTTGCATCTTGTCTATTCCTAACAGCATGTGTTACAGGACCATCATGTATTTTATTATGCCAAATCCAACGACATATTTCAGTATTAATAGTTAAATCCGTAGTAAAATCGTATCCTTCCCATGTGACACAACCAAAATCACCTAATGATAAAATCTTATAATCAATAAAAAGATTGTTTGATTTTCAATAGATCAAATATTTGATTGAATAGGATAATTTATTATATTATATATTATATTTTTATATTATATTTCCTAAATACTTTTTTTTTGTATACCTTCAACAGTACCAACATATATATTTCTTTCCATTTCAAAATCAGGCTTTTCGATTATATTTCTATAAAATCTTCGAATAGTTATATCGTCCGTAGGTGGAATAACATCTGTACGTTCTTTCTTAAATTTTGGTACATAAATAGTCATAGTAGTAATCACTACTTTTCGACTTTCATTCGGGTGTTGGATCACCAAAATATAATGAGGTTTGAAAATACGATCCAATATTTTATACGGAGATATAGATTCCACTAATGCTTCTGGTCTTTTCACTTTTGCTTGTTTTCTTTTTCGAATATCCTTCTTTTTTAATGCTATCCATCTTGAAATAAATAATAATTTGATTAATTTATATATAATAATCTGATAAATTTAATTTCTGAATTTATAATAGATGAATATATTTATAGAAAAAGAATTAGATAATTGTTCATTTATAATTTGTAATAATTTTGAAATTACGCAATATTTTAACCATTTATTGAAACTAATCTATCATAGATATTTCATTATTTATATTCAGAATTTTTCTATTTTAACATAAAAAATTATTATCTGTTTACGATCGCTTTGAATTTAATTATCATGGCACAATTATGCAATATATAAATATATAAAATTATGTAATTTCAATATGCATAACAAAAATATTTGTATGATATTATATAATAAATAATATGAACATAACAAAAATATTTATATGATGTTATATAATAAATAATATGACATTTAATAAATATATTTAACTTTGGAAAAATTTTTTGCCAAATTAATTTTCCTTCTCAAGATTTTAATATTCTTATCATTAATAGTAATAGTAATAAGATATTTGCTATAAGCTTAAATTAAATTGTTTGCTAATATAATAAACAGTATAACAAAAGGAATTTATTTAAAAAAAAAACTAACTTTTCATCTAACTTTAAATTCCAAAAAGCGATCGTACCG